TTTTCAACAGGGAGAATTAAACCTCTTATCTTTAATTTGTATTGATATTTACCCTTACATTCTCCAGCTTCTGTCCATTAATTATTCAAAGATCTTAAGGCCTGATTTTATGCAGGGCCCACATTTTATTTTCATGAAAGAGTATCTTTGGGGTGTGGGGAGTTAGAAGCACCTAGTTCCCAGCACTCATACTCTTTGTAGTTATTTCAATATAATTTTCACTTCAGACAACAGCCTGCTCACCCCTCCCCTACCTACTTCTTGTTGGAAAAACATACTATGGACCCTTTTCCATAACTGCGTAATTGACCCCAAATTCCTATACTCCCTCCCTCTACAATCCCTCACCCCACCATATGGCCACGCCACACAAATGCTCATCTTAGAGAGGTGTGTGTAACATGAAGAGCCCAGGTGGGAGGGAGTTCAGGAGGAATCTACCTGAGGACCTGGTCCTGTTGGAAAAGGTAAGGGGGTTTGCGGGCCTCCCATCACTGATCTTCTGTGGTGAGTAGGTCCTGCTGGGTTTGCCCTCTGAAAGGTTAGTCTGTTCCTGTAGACAGACTTCACTGTATACAGAGCAGTTGCTGCACTCCTGGGTAAGGTGAACACAGCTGGAAAACTTGAAACCTGGGGAAACAGCAGCCCCGCCGGGGGGCCTTTCAGAGACTCACCAAAGCTGGGTGCTTCAGTCCACTCCACACAAGCCACTGCAGTGGGGACTGCAGACACCTCCACCTCAGACTCATTTCTCTTCTCCCCAGCTACTGTACCCAAATCCATGATTTCCCTCCAGCCTCCGTGGACCACTGTCTTCCGTGGAGAGAGAGTGAATCTGACTTGCAATGGATTTCACTTCTATGCACCAGAGAAAATAAAATGGTACCGTTGGTACTCTGGAAGACAACGTCCAAGTGAAACCCAAGGCAACACCCTCGAGGTTCGTGATTCTGGACAGTACATTTGCCAGGCCCCAGGCTCACTCCCGAGTAACCCTGTGCGCTTGCTTTTTTCTACAGGTGAGAAAGAAGGTGAATTAGTTAAAACATTGGAAGTGGTTTGCAGTACATCTTAGCTCCCTGGATTTTCCAAGAACTGAGGCCCTTCATTCTACTTTAACTTTGATCTTTCAGGTTCATGTCCTCCCTCACTGTCTATAAGTGTTTTTCAAACTACTATTGACATTAGAGTTTAAATGTCTGATATTAATCAACAGACATTCTTACACACACAATTAAAGAAGGAAGTTTTAGTTTTAGGGGATTCAAAAGTGAAGCTGTCTTAGGTCCTGCCTTCAAGGGCTCTACAGCCTCCTTGGGGAGAACTTACGTATACATGAATGTACTAAGCACAAAATAGGAAGTGAAAAGTGCTGTAAAATAAGAATTCAGAGGTGGGAAATCTCCAGCCTCAGGGCTTGTGTCTTCACCTGTCTTAGGATATGTCCGTTCTCTATTTCAGAAAATTTAGATCACTCCTCAGGCATTGGTCTATAGGAGCAGGCATTCACTGCATCGTCTCAGAGAGAAAGGATAGAACTAGCCTGTAATCAGAATCTGAAGAGCATGAGAGCTTCATGAGTGGACCGCATTCACTGCCCCTTGACCCTGAATTTGTATCTGTGACCATAAGCCCTCTGCATAGCGCACTCCAATGCACTGTAACAATTCCCAGTGTATTTCTCCAAGAACTACGTCTTTGACGACTCCTGTTCTGTTATTTGGTGAGCAAGTCGGTGTTGATCTTCTCCGTAATCAATGACGTCAGAGATTTGGTCACACCTCCTCTCAGCTTTTCCTCTGCACATTAGAATCCTTATATTTCTGAATCTGTCCCTGAATGGTTAAATAGACGTGTTTAGGATTTATTTAGGAATTGTATCTGAAGCAGGTCAACTGATTTGGAAGGAAATGAGTGAGCTTGAGTCAGGAGACTAAATCCTGGGGGAGAAAAAAGGAAGAAAAAAAAAAAATCTCTGTAATTCAGGATGCACAGAGGAAGGAGTGCCTCAATAACAACGTCTTATCTGTGTGTGGTTTCCAGCCTCCTTCATCCTCCAGGCCCCACATTCTGTGTTTGAAGGTGACGAGTTGATTCTGAGATGCCGGAAAAGGGGGAGAGAGAAACTGACTGCTGTGAGGTACTTTTGGAATAGAAAACTTATTTCTGATTCTAATAAAAGCTTGGATCTTCTGATATCACAAGCAAGTTTAAACAACAGTGGCTGTTACCAATGCACTGGATCCTTGGAAAACAACCGTGTATTGAGAACAAGTTTCACAAATATTCGAATTCAAGGTAAACACTTCATTTCATACAAATTTGCTTAGCAATGTCAGGGCAGGGTAAATTGGGCACATCCGCGGGGATCTATGTAAGTGGTGTTTTTTGGTTTTTGGTTTTTTTTGGCTGTGACCCTCAGCTTGTGGGATCTGCTTAGTTCCCTGACCAGGATTGAACCAGGGTCCTCGGCAGTGAAAGCACAGCGTCCTAACCACTGGACCTCCAGGGAATTCCCTATATAAGTTGATATCATAACAAACTCCGGAAATATTTGAGACCACGTCGTCTAAGAGGCAGAGAAAGCGGAACAATTTGACTTAAATAATCCTGGGAAAGAAAAATGTGATAGAGGGGCCGATAAGTTTGTCTTGCTGGGTGTCTGAAGTTTTCCAGAACCGCGAATCCAAGCCTGCCTCATACTGAGAACTTGATTCACCTCTTCTCTCTAGAGCTATTTCCACGTCCAAAGCTGAAAGTCACAGACTCCCGGCCTACAGAGGGGAATTCTGTAAACCTGAGCTGTAAAACACAGCTTCCTCTAGAGCGGTCGGACACTCGGCTTCGCTTTGTCTTCTTCAGAGACCATGGGGTCATCCTCTCAAACTGGAGTACATCCCCAGAACTCCAGGTCACAGCCGTCTGGAGAGAAGACTCAGGATCATACTGGTGTGGGGCCATGACCAGCGGCATCCACAAACGCAGCCTTCCACTTCAGATTGACGTGCAGAGTGAGTGCTGGAGAGCCGGGCTGCGGCGTCTCCCCTGACTACTCCTTCTGGCCCAGTGAGGGTAGGGACTGCCCAGTACAGATGGAGTTTTTCATCCTGACAGAGGCACCAGGCTTAGACTGAGAAGTGAGGTAGATAATAAAAGAAATACAGGATTTCATTTCCACCTCTATTTCTCTAAAAACTTAGTCTTTCTTTGAAATTCTAGCACCTTGAAATGACAGAGGTGATTCACGGAGGCAGATACAAGGGTTGGGCAAAACGAAATGAAAACAAGAAACAAAATTCTCTGCTACTGAATCGACAGATTCTAGGATGTCAGATCTTGGGGCAAACTATTTAGAAGACACATATCCACAGAGGTGGACCCTAACCAGTAACAACAAACAGTGTGATGTGTAAAGCAGAAGAGAAGGACATGCATACACACAAAGATAAATACAATAAATATCAGCTTGTCTTAGGTACCAGAGCAGGACTTCTGGAAATGGATGTGGTCTAGGTCAGTGTGATGATAGCCACTATTGCTATTACTTCTCCCAGGTCAAAATAATTCACACTGACAACTAGGACAGGACATAAAACCCAAATGATTTTTCAGGGAGACCCAATTTTTCTCTCCTGGAGTCTGTGCATCAGGATGGAAAGGTTACTACATTTAATGATACTCTAGGTCCCAAATCCACAGTCTATGAGCTACAGTGCTAACGCCTGCAGAAGAGTATATCTTAAAGTCCCATAAAAAGTGACCCTGTCCAACATCCCAACCCTGTCCTCCTCTCACCATGCCCTCACCTGTTGTCTGTGTTCATACAGGAATCCCTGTGTCTAGAGTGTTCCTGGAGACCCAGCCCCAGGGGGACCCGGTGGTTGAAGGGGAGATACTTGTCCTTGTCTGCTCTGTGGCTGAGGGCACGGGGAACACCACGTTCTCCTGGCACAGAGAGGACACGAGGGAGAGTCTGGGGCAGAAAAGTCAGCGCTCCCAGAGAGCAGAGCTGGAGATCCCTGTTATCAGGGAGGGCCACGCAGGGGGCTACTACTGCACAGCTGACAATGGCTACGGCCTCATCCAGAGCGAGGCGGTGAACGTCTCTGTGAGAAGTAAGTCTTAATCCCCATTGACCTTATTTATTCTCAGATTTCTCAAATTAGGGGTGGGCATAGCCAACACTATCTTTGTGACTCTAATTTTTCTATTTCCATTTTGCCATTTTCCACTGCGATACTCACTTTTTTCCATTAAATATCAATAATTCAGGTTATAAGGAGGTACTACAGTGAGGGAATGCTGGCCAGGGGCCATTTCATCTCTTGGGGATGATTCTGTGTGCCTGTACGCTGATCCATTGTGTGTTGTTCTCAAACAGCAGTCTTATGTCATTAGCAGTGTTTTAGGGTAGGGTATAGCTCCTTCATCCTAAGCGTCAACTATACTCTCCTTTTGGTAATCCTCCACGGGGCCAAAGACATAAAACATCCCTTTACTCCATTACGGTAGGTCTAAGAGTGTGTCAATACCAACTTGTATTCAGGTCAGGAAACTTACAAGTACCAAGAGTGAATACAGAGCCCCATTATGTCCACAGAGGAGATAAGCCTTCCTTTGGGATAGCACAGTCGTAGCTTATATCTTTACCTTCCTCTGTCTCCAAGGAGTCATACTAGGTCAAGCCAGGTTCCCACTCAGCTCCCCTGGGACTAAAGAAATTGTTTCTATGGGGCTTCAATTCATCCTCTATCTCAGGTTCAGTTGCATCCCAGGCTATCCAATAAAGCTAGTTTTATGGAGGAACTACTGGAAAGCTAGATTTCTCTGCTTTCCTTTACAGTAAAACCCCTTAAAAGAGTTATCTCTACTCACTCTCTGTTTTCTCTCAAACCCATCACCTTGAGGCTTGCCTCACTCCAATGGTACTTCTATACCTATTCATCAAATACCCCTTTTAAGGTTTTTTTTTTCTTTTTACTGGATCCCCATCACATTTTTTAAAAATAAATTTATTTATTTTATTTTTGGCTGTGTTGGGTCTTTGTTGCTGCTTGTGGGCTTTCTCTAGTTGTGGTGAGCGGGGGCTACTCTTCGTTGCGGTATGTGGGCTCCTCATTGCAGTGGCTTCTCTTGTTGCAGAGCACGGGATCTAGGCGTGAGGGCTTCAGTAGTTGTGGCACGCGGGCTCAGTAGTTGTGGCTCACGGGCTCTAGAGCACAGGCTCAGTAGTTGTGGTGCACGGGCTTGATTGCTCTGTGGCACGTGGGATCTTCCCGGACCAGGGCTCGAACCCGTGTCCCCTGCATTGGCAGGCAGATTCTCTAGATCCTCCAACTCTAATACACCTGCAAGTCCAGATAGCTCTACCTTCAACGTATCACCAAAATATGACTAATTCCCACCACTTCCACTGCTACCACCTGATCCAAGCCACCTGGATGATCGCAATAACACTCTGATTTTCTGCTTCACCTGTGGCTCCACACAACCTGTTCTCAACACAGTATCAGAAGGAACTCTCTAAATCATAAATCAGATCATGTTACTCTTCTGCTCAATATCCTCCCATGGCTTCCCATCTCCTTCAAAGGGAGAGCCAATGTCCTCTCAACGTCCCACCAGATCCTGATGATCTGGCTATCCTGCTGTTCTGACCTGATGGCCCACCACTGTCTCCTCACCTTCTCCACTCTAGCCACCATGGCCCCCTGTCTCTTCTTCAAAACTTCCAGTCACACTCCAACCTCAGGGCCTTTGCACTGCTCTTCCCCACTATCTTCATGCTTATCCCCTCACTTCCTCCAGGACCTTACTCACCTTCCCAATGAGACCTTCCCAGCCACCCTATGTAACATAGCAGCTCTTCACCAAGGCCCTCCCTCTCCAAGTCTTGCTTGATTCTTCCTCACAGCATGTGTCACCAACTGCCATGCCATGCAGTCATTTTCTGTCTCTTTCCATGCCTCCCATAGTAGCCTCATAAAGGTAAATCTCTATTTTGACCATATTTTATCCCAAGTGCCTATTCCACTGCTTAGCTCATATTAGGCATTCAATAAATATTTGCTGAATGAATAAGTTTTACACATATCATTTTTGCTTATCGTAGTCATAATCCTAGAAAATAAAGATATTATCATCTCCATTCTACAGAAAAGGAGTGTGAAACTCAGAAAGGTTGGTAATTTGCCTATGGTCACAAAGCTTATACCTGGCAGCCCAGATCTGAACCTTGACACAATCTTTTAGCTCAAAGAGACAGAGATCTTTCCCTCTGTCTGACTTGTCATACGTAGCATAATGCCCTCAAGCTTCATTCATGTCGTTGCAAACGGCAGAATTTTCCTTCTTATGGCTGTATAATATTCCATCATATTCACATTCCATCATGATGGAATATTATATATATATACCAGATTTTCTTTGTCCATTCATACATCAATGGACACGTAGGTTGCTCATGTCTTGGTTATTGTAAATAATGCTGCAATAAACATGAGGATGCAGATATCTCTTCAAGACAGTAATTCCATTTCCTTTGGATATATATGTAGAAGTGGGATTGCTAGATCATATAGTAGTTCTATTTTTTAAAAGTTTTTGAGGATCCTACATACTGTCTTCCATTGTGGTTGCACATGTTTACATTCTCACCAACAGTGTACAAGGGTTTTCTTCTCTCCACATCCTTACCAACACTTGTTATTTCTAGTCTTCTTTTTTTTTAAGTTATAGGGAATAAAGTTTATTTTGGCAGAGCGTGTTAAACAAAATTAAAGTTGCATACATTAGTAACATAACTCAACGTCCTTAATTTAGTGTAAGTGTGACACATTTTCTTGCTTTCCTATGTTCTGCTAAATCACCATAACGTAGACTGCTTTATTAAACTGAAATGCTGAAATTTAATTTTACTGTTTGTTTGTTTGTTTGTTTTGCCGTACGCGGGCCTCTCACTGTAGTGGCTTCTCCCGTTGCGGAGCAAAGGCTCCGGACGCGCAGGCTCACGGGCCCAGCCGCTCTGCGGCATGTGGGATCTTCCCGGACCAGGGCACGAACCCGCGTCCCCTGCATCGTCAGGCGGACTCTCAACCACTGCGGCACCAGGGAAACCCAATTTTACTGTTTTTGCTTATGCTGTGATTCTAAACAAACTTTATAAAAAAGCCATTGTAACAGGTATGAGGTGCTACCTCACTGTGGTTTTGATTTGCATTTCCCCAATTAGTGATGTTGAACACCTTTTCATGAACTTGTTAACTTTTGCATGTCTTCTTTGTAAAAATGTCTATTCAAATCCTTTGTCCATTTTTAAATTGGATTATTTGAGGGTTTTTTTGCTATGGAGTTGTATGACTTCCTTATATTATTATATATTAACCTCTTAACAGATACATGATTTCCATGTATTTTCTCCCATTCTATAGATTGCTTTTTTCATTTTGCTGATTATTTCTTTTGCTGTGTAGAAGCTTTTTAATTTGTTGTAGTACCATTTGTGTATTTTCACTTTTGTCGCTTGTGCTTACCATATCATATCCAAAACGTCATTGCCAAGGCTAACGTCAAGGAGCTTTTTCTCTATGTTTTCTTCTAGGAGTTTTATGGTTTCAGGTCTTACATTGAAGTCTTTAATACATTTCAAGTTAATTTTTGTGAGTGGTATAAGATGGAGGTCCAGTTTCATTCTTTTGCATGTGAATATCAAGTTTCCCCAGCACCATTTATTAAGAGATTATCTTCTCCACTGAGTATTCTTGGCTCTCTTATCCAATATTAGTTGACAGTATATGCATGGATTTATGTCTGGCCTCTTGATTCTGTTCCACTGATTTATGTATCTGTTTTTATGTTAACACCAATTTGTTTTGGTTACTCTAGTTTTGTTATATAGTTTGAAATCAGGAAGTGTGAAGCCTCCAACTTTGTTCTTTTGTTGCAGGATTACTTTGGCTATTTGGTGTCTTTTGTGGTTCCATACAATATATATTTTTTAATTTCTGTAAAAAATGCCATTGGAATCTTGATAGGGATTGCAGTGAATCTGTAGATGACTTATATAGTATGGACATTTTAACAATATTAATTCTTCCAATTCACAAACATGGAATATCTTTCCATATTTGTGTCTTCTTCAATTTTTTTCAACAATATCTTATAGTTTTCAATATACAGGTCTTTCACCTCCTTGGTTAAATTTACTAGTAAGTATTGTATTATTTTTGATTTTACTGAAAATGGGATTGTTTTCTTTATTTCTTCTTTGGGTAATTCATTGTTACATGGATAGAAACACAGCTGATTTTTGTATGTTGATTTGGTATCCTGCAACTGTAGTGAATTTGTTTATTAGCTCTAACAGATTTTTTGTGGAGTCTTTAGGATTTTCTTTATATAAGATCATGTCACCTGCAAACGGAGACAATTTTTCTTCTTCCTTTCCAATTTGGAGGTCTTCTATTATTTTTTTCTTGCCTGATTCCTCTGGTTAGGACTTCTAGAACTATGTTGAATAGGAGTGGTGAGAGAGGACACCCTTGCCTTGGTGAATGGATCCAATGGAAAAATCAGAATTCCCCAACAATTTAGTTTATTCCTTCCATCAGTTTCTTTCCCACCTCCCCTTCAAAGACTCAGGCTTCTATGAGGAAGGAAACTGGTGGCATTTCATTGTGGTGTCCCAATATATTTTTTTAATGGAGAGCAATCTCAGAGTTACTGCTGGTTCAGCTCGTGTCCTAATCAGTGGTGATATTTGCTTTCTTTCTCAGGCAGGCTGCTGTTTCAAAGTTAGGTGCTGCCAAGCCGCTGTCGCATAACATCTTTCCAAATGTCTAGGGGAAATTTCCAAAAGGCCAAAGTACAGAATAGATAGAGAGATAGAGAGGCAGATGTAGATTTTCCCCCAAATATTAATTTCTGAAATGATGTCTGGGGGTCAGTGGAGGGAGCTGTCTACCTTTCTCCCCTTTGCCACAATCCACCCAGGCTCTTGTCTTCTACCCCTTCACAGTGAGTCACTTCCTGTCACATGCAGGCTCAGGGCTGTGCTGCCCACAAGTAGGAACCTGCTTCCTGTGCCACACCAGTCCTAGCCTAGTCCTCAAAGGCCCCCACGAGTCCTCATCTTTTAGATTCTTCCCTCTACCAGGCTCAAGGCCCCAGCCAAGCTGAGGAAAGCTTCCAGGGCTCCAGGCCCTAGACCCCTCCCCTGGAGGCTCATACAGGCTTTTCCCCTCCAGGCACCCCAGGGAAAAGAAGAGGCCTTGTTGCTGCAGGAACCACTGGGGGGATATTCAGCGTTCTCCTGGCTGTGGCCCTGCTGTTTTACTGCTGGCACCAGAGGAGACTAGGTTTGTGTTCTCTCTTACCTTTTGCTAGAGCCCATGCCCTGTCCCTGCCTCAGACACCCCAGCTCATCCCAACCTCAGTAACAGCCACGCCACCGTTCTCTACCTCACCACCCCAGTGCTCACAGACACACTCATACTCTTCCTTGAAATGGCAGTTTCCTTAATAGTATCTAGTCTAATCTACAAAGCCTCAAGTGGAAAGGTAGGGAGGAAATAAACATTTTAATGTGAAGTTTCAAAAACTTTAAATGGTTTCCTTGAGTAGTTTCTTTGGTCCAAACAGACTGGTCAACTAGATGCTTCAGCCCACCCTACATCCCCTAGAAGTGGACAATCAAAATAAACTGGAAGCCCCTATGAAGAAATGACTGAGAATGGGAGCTGGCTAATCTTTATCCTTCTTCTTCCTCAGAGACTTCCCAGAGTCAAAGCCTGAAATGAGCACCTTGTGCTCCCATGGCTCTGCTCTCCACAGGTCAGGCCGCTGCCTCCCCCTCTACATGGTGGAGAGAGTTTCTCCCTGGTACTGTCATGTGCTTCCAAAGGCTTCTTGCTTTAACCCAGGTCAGGGTGGTTTCAGATGCCAGGAAACCTGGTGTAGAAGACAGGCACAGAAACTATTTCAGCTCTAGTATAATTACCCATCCTTCCTCCCTGTCTTTTAATTTAATTCAATTCAACTCAACTCACCAGATCCTTCTGAGCACCCGCTATGTGCCCTGCACTGGGCTGAATGTAGGGAGCCTTGGACCTTTGACCATGAGTCTCCTTAACGAGCTTGAGACTGAGGTTCCTCTGGGCATAACCACAGATGTTCCTGGAAAGCCATCTACAGCCCCTCACTACTCTGCAAGAAAGACAAATTTGGCTATACTTAGTATTTCCTGAGGTAGATCAACACAGCCTTGAACCTTAATAGTCTCAAATAATTGTATATTCAACATAGAAATGTGTAGCCCTGTCCCCAGCAAGTTATATGCTTTGTTCAGTTCTTTTTCACATGGTTTTCATGAGAACATGGGACTGGGCCCATGTTTGAAATAACTTTCTGATGACCTCTCTTAGGCAGTGCACGTGTGTGAAATATTTGAGAATGAGCTCCCTCTGCTGACACAATCTGCCTTCGTTTTATTTTGCAGGAGATGGTTCTCTGGGAGACACAACCAGGTGAGGCCTCAGCCTTCTGTTTTCCCAAGAATAAAACGTGCAGAACTGTGGGGCTGCAAGTTTAGGCTAAGTGATTTCTCTGTGTCCCTGTGTCTAGATACTCCCGTTTTCACATTCCTTAAAATGGCCACAATCACAGCTTCCTAGAATCCTTCTAATAGTTTGTATAATGGATTTTGCATGTATTTAGATCAGTTTCTTATTTGAAATTTATCTGAATGGATGATACCAAAGGTTATAGATTTTCTAGGTTGCCGCAGAATATTTCTGGTGCAAATAGTCGTATAGTTAGGCAACGTGTTACTATAACTACGTATAAAATGACTGTTAATTCTAGACTTTCTAGAGGAACCTCAGCTTCTAGGAATCTTCTTTTTGCCCCACATGTGCTCATATACTCATCAAATTTTGTGCTTTTAAATTTGGTTTGGAAAATATGGTCTTCTTCTGTCTGTGTCAGTGCCTCAGTCTTATAGTCAGGGACTTGGAGCATGGATTATGTCTAATTTCTTCTTGAATTGTCCAGATAGAATGCTTTGAGGACACTTCCTCCAGGTGATGAGGCTGGGTTTTTTTAACCAACTGAGAGTGACCATTCTATCTATGAGGTCATCATTCCTATGATGTTAGAGACTCTTCTGGCCTTGTTCTGTTGACTTCTCCCCATTCCTTTTTGTCTCTGTCTATCCCACTCTTGTGCATATTATAATGTTCCAAGGATGATCATGTGTTTCTGTGCCTCGCAGGAGACCCCTGACCCTAGGCCCAGGAGTGTCCTTCCATCCCATGTGCCCTGCCCCAGTGGAGCTGCAGCAGTTGCATGGCAATGGTAAAGATTTCCTGGTAGGAAACTGCTCCCAGCCTGAGCCAGGGAGAGATACTTTGTTCTGAGGCCTGGCAAAGGCCCCTGGTCTCCCTAAGTATCCCAAACCCAGACATTCACAATAAATAATTGCTTAGGAAGAAGCATCTGCAGCATACCCCACTGACTGGGACAGCTTAGAAAGTGTTGCTTTTTTTTGTTCTCAGAGCACCCCAAAGAAAGAGACCTGGTATATTCTCAGATCCAGATTATTCAGCCTGGGGAAGAAGGAGAAGGTAAGTCACTGGGGAGAGATTCTTGCTGCAAACTATATTCATTCATTTGACACATATTTACTGAGCACCTCCTATGTGATGGGCACTGCTTTAAGTAAAGAGAGTAAATCAGTGAACAAGGCAGATAAAAATCCCTACAGTGTGATGCTTAGATTCTGAAGAGAGAAGGCAAACACAGAAAACTATATAACGTATCTTTGCTGATGATCAGAACAAAAATTAAACATCCTTCTAACAGATATTATAATCATGAAGGTGTATGTACAAAGATTTCCCTTAAGTAATGAATGAATGATGGCAACGCACCTATTATGTGATAAGGATCTATATGCATTATAATATATAAAAATATACATATGTATGTATATGTTTAGTTAATCCATATAACAACCCTGTGTAACCAGTATACTGAACAAGCAAGACTCATGACTTAATTACAAAAATCTTCCGTCTCCCACTGTCTGTTTAAACTTTCTTCTGTGAGAGATCTTCTCGGGCACTCAGGATGAAAATTCTGGCAGCCAAAGTCTTTACAAAACATTATCTTAGACAATAGACAGTAGGTGGACACTTTATGTCATAGTCTCTATTAAGTAACTAGAACGTCTAGTTTGAAGATGTTAAGCAAAACTTTCCCCTCTCCTAGTTCAGGGAAATTTCAGAATGGAAGCTGGCAATGGTAGGGATGAGGGGGAGGACGAGGCAGAGTTGGCCTCTCTGTTTCTTTGGTTGGCTTCCCCTAATTAGCCTGGAGAAAGGAGTGGGAAAGGAGTTACTCCAGCTGGTATTTTGGAAGCTGGCTTCTGCCTCTCTGGGATGGCAGATGGTTAAGCAGGCACTCCCCTGTATAAGGTACATGTGTGGTCTCTTGACGTTTCCTGCTGGACCCCTCCTTCCTAAAATTCCTTTGGCACAGCTGGTGCATTTCTAATTCCAGGAGTTGTTTGTGACTCCTTCATTGGCCTCACTTCCAGTCAATCACATCCAGCTTCCTGCTGCTGGATTCCCTTGGTACCTGGAGGCCCTATTGAACAGGACCCAAGGTGACCATACTCCTGCTTGTTCTGTCTCCCACGTGGACCACATCTGTCCTTGGGGACACCTGGGAATTTCAGGTCCTTGCTGACCCACAGCTTTCTTCCAATCCCACCACCAGTCATGAGTCAGAACTCTCAATGCTCTAGATAAGGGTGTTGAAATATTTTTTATTGTTATCTGCAGTAAGAAGTACAAATTGTACTGTTAAGCAGTGTGAATGTGCGCACACTCACACACACAAACACACACATAACTGAACTACAGTTTTAGGAGACAGTACTTAGTGTGATGCACTCTGTTTTCTAATCTACTCATTGATTGATTTAATCAGCTTTATTGAGGTATAATCGACATACAATATAATTCTCTACGTTTAAACACACAGTTCAAATTATTTTAATAAATGCATCCATTCACAGAACCACCACCACAATCATGATGTCGAACATTTCCAACAGCCCAGAAAATCCTTTCATGCTCCTTTGCAGTTAATCTCCCCCTAGCTCCACCCCTGGCACCCACGGATCTGCCTTCTGTCCTATAGTTTTGCTTTTCTATAATTTCGTATAAATGGAATCTTATGTAATGGAATCTTTAGGTCTGGATTCTTTCACTTAACATAATGTTTTGCAATTCATCCATATTCTAGCATATTATAAGTAGTTCACTATTTTTTTTGTCATGTAAAAAGCTATGCACATTTAATGTATACAACTCATGAGTTTGGAGATAAATTAACACCAAGGAAACCATCACCACCATTAAGGCCATAGATATATACATCATCTTCCAAAGTTTCCTTCCACACACTTGATGATGATGATGATGATGATGATGATGATGATGTGTGGTAAGAACACTTAACATAAGATTTACCTTAGCGAGCTTTAAGTATACAATAGAATATAGTTAGCTGTAGGCACTATGCTGTATAGTAGATCTCCAGAATTTATTCATCCTTCATAACTCAAACTTTGTACCTTTTGAGCAATACCTCTAGTCTCCTTTCCCCCAGCCCCTTGGAACCACCATTCTACTCTCTGCTTCTATGAGTCTGAGAACATACAGTATTTGTCTTTCTGTATTTGGCTTATTTTTCTTAGAATAATGTCCTCCAGGTCCATCTGTGTTGTCACAAAAGACAGGATTTCCTTCTTTTTTAAGGTGGAACAATATTCCATTGTGTGTCTGTGTGTGTCTGTGTGTGTGTCATACTTCCTTTATGCATTCATCCATCAATAAACATTTAAGTTGTTTCCATATCTTGGTTATTATGAATAGTGCTGTGATCTCTTCAAGATCCTGATTTCAATTCCCTTGGATATGTACTCAGAAGTGGGATTGCTGGATCACATGAGAGTTTTATTTTTAAATTTTTAAGAAACCTCCATACAGTTTTCCATAGTAGCAGTACCAATCTGCACTCCCACCAACAGTGTACCAGAATTTCTTTTTCTCCACATCCTTGCCAACACTTGTTATCTTTTGTCTTTTTGATGATAGCCATCCTAATAGGTGTGAGGTGATATCTCACTGTGGTTTTCATTTGTGTGATTACTGATGTTGAGAACCTCTTCAATAACTGTTGGCCATTTGTATGTCTTCTTTAGAGAAACATCTATTCAGAACTTTTGCCCATTATAAAATTGGGTTATTGTTATTATTTTAGCTATTGAGTCCTACGAATTCCTTATATATTTTGCATATGAATCCCTTATCTGATATATGGTTTGCAAGTATTTTCTTCCATTTTGTAAGCTGCCTTTTCTACCTGTAGCACCTCTCCAGTATTTTTGTGCCTAGTAGAAATTTCAGTTGTAACGTGATCCTGAACACGGTTTACAAATGGGGTTAAGGACTTTTACAAGGTCACAAGCCAGTAAAAGACTAAGTCTTCTGTTTTGCTATAATATTTGCTGCATATAGTGCCTATTGCTATATTTGACTAACATGCATCATCTGAACACCTGCTTTGTCTGTTACTTTGATTTCTCAGCCATCCCCACTAATCAGGACCTTTTGAATGACAGAACTGCCACCAATTTGATTGGGTTAATTGGGTACATCCTATAGAGTCACCTTGATCAGTTGCTGCTCTTCACACTCTGTCCTTGACATATTTGTCAAAACACCACTGAAGCTGAGCACTCTGTTGGTGGACGAGTTATATTTTAGGCACTTTATGTGTTGATGATCTGTAGCAAGATTTCTTCACCAGTGCCTGTGTTTGCATGAAGCCCCTGAAATTTTATGCAAATTTCCATGCATATGTCTATTGTTCTGGGGAGGGAGTACATAGCTTCTATCAGGTCATTAAAAAGATCTGTAAATCCAGAAGGTCTATGGTAAAAATATAATGAAAACGAAAGAGTTCCAGGATGTATCTTTTTTCCCAAGCTCTATCTCTCCATAAAATTACTATATGTAGCTCTCATGATTCTACCTTCTCTGAGATTCTTAATTTCTAATATGCAGGATATGACAAAATCATACCTGCTAAACTCTTCTCTCACTATGGCTCCATCTCTAAGAAACTTTGGCAATAAAATCAATAACCAGAACATGCTAATGCAAGAGAATTTTTCTCACAGAGCAGACATTTGAAGAGGTCTAGTGGGAACTTGCAGAACAAGCGGGGGTTGGACTTCAAGGTTGGTAAGATGGAAGTTAAGAGAGGCAAGAATTGTAACTAAGAGAGAAATTATCTCTAAACATCTGGTAAATGAAGGGAGTGAGATTTCTTTCTGTGGTATTAAGGGAGCCTGAAAAGGACATGCAGAAGGCTGGGTTAAGAAATGGTAAAACAAAGTCACATGTGTTGTAGGACATGTTGGGGATCAGGGAGGAGAAAACATGACAATCAATGCAAAAGGCCTAGTGACTCCCAGATTCTGGGAAATAAGCTATAAGACTGAGTTCTGAGTGGATCCAATACTCATAGTTCAGTGGTTTCCTTTTCTTCCACAGGAAATACCTTCAGAACATCTCTAGAGGACCAGGTGAGTTTCATTTCCTGACTGTTTTCTCTCCCACTACTGCTTATAGCCCCATACTCCTTCTCCTTCCAGTTCTTCTTCTATCTTTTTTCCACCCCAGCATGCCTCAATTGTCTACTCTGAGGTGAAGACACAACTCCGAGATGATTCGGCTGGAAAGGTCGGCTCTAAAGATAAAGATATCATGGAAAATTACAAGGATGTCCTACTCATGTGACTTGTCCCTGATCCCAAGACCCAGCTCAGTGCAGTCCTTGAGGTCTCTAGAGTGACCAACTAGTTCCAACTTTCCGGTTCTTCTTGCCCATGTGCATTCACTCCCAGGACTTCTGATTCACCCACTCTGATGCCGTGATGGGAAAGCCCCTCAAAGACGTCACTGAAATGACCAGGGTCCATGGTTAAAAAAAGAGCCTGTGTGCCTGCTCTGAGCCTAACCTAATGTGTTCCCTAGGGTGTGATTTAGGGGAAAGGAATAAGGGGGGAGAAGGACTGCTGCTGAAAAACAGAAGCATAAATTTTGGAGAACTGGGATTTGCATCTAGACAGAAAGGACCAAGTGACTCAGGTCTCTGTTTAATACATCTTCAACAATTCTCCCACTGGGGAATCAGCTGCATCAATTAGTTTCACTATGAGTGGCTGCATGTGTACTTTACAGGAATGCATAACCCCATCCCTCCTGCTTACACTGTTTACACTGTCAAGATTCAGTTGCAGGCAGAAGAATCCATTCCAAGTGGTTTACAGATAAAGGTATTTAAGTTTATATTAACTACTTTGAAAAATCATTAGAAGACCTGAAGAAGCAGGCTCTAGACTGAGTTTCCAAAAGCAAAAGCTAATTACGTTAATGTTATTAGGGACAACGATTTTTAACATTGGAGAGAAGAAATATAAAATTAAAAAGTTAAGTAGGTAACTTTAAGTAACCCCCAAAACCTAAATTTGAATTGGAAATGTTAGTACAAACTGATGACAAACCCTGTCTTTTTTTTTTTTTAAACCCTGCCTTTTAAAAAAATTATTTATTTCCTAGTTCTGTCCACTAGAAATGTCTAGAAATAATTAACAACTCAATAACAATGAGCACCCATTGCACATGTTGTAGTCTCTAAATACTATTCCCTACTCAAAGGATACAGAGCTGCCTTTCTTGTAGGAGCTGTATCTTTGAGTTATCAAATAGGTGATGTTAGAATAATTCTTCCAATAGATGAAGAAAGACTGAAAGAAACAGAAAACGACTATTTGTGTGAATGTTTCATGCTACTGATCAAGTTGACATACAAAAACCAGCCTAATATTATGTGCCTCCTGATGGAAGTATCCAATACCACCTACAAAGTATTTATGCCTGAAATATCAAAACTGAATCCACTCAAGTCGCTAGGTCTAACTACCAGTTTACAGGAAATAAATGGGACAAAGGACTATGTTAAATAGCACCATGGGATTCCAATCAGAAAAATGTAAACTATGGAAAAATTCTACAGGACAAATGACCTGGTTTCTTCAACAAACAAATGACTGGAAGGAAGGAAAGAGGGAAGACCTATAAATTAAATGAGACTTGAGACATGTCAGTCAAAAGGAATAAGTGAGGCTGGACTCAAACAAATTAAGTTAAAAAGGAATTACTTATGGAATAGTAAATGAAATTTGTACATTAATATAAAGAAATTATGTTTGGATAATTTATGTGTTTGAAGAATTTATGTGTTTTGGATATAAATGATAGTATTGTGGTTATGTTTTTATTAAAAATATTCATTTTTTACTTCATACTGAAGTATTTGTAGATTAAATGATATGCTTTTGTTTGAAATAATCCAGTAATGAGAGGGTAGGCAAGAAGTGGATAAGGGTATAGATGAAACAAGTTTGGTCATGTGAGCACCACTTCTGAAGCTGGGTGGTAGGTACATTACAGGAGGAAGGAGGGTTTATACTGGTCTCTGCTTTTGTATGTTTCAAATTTCCATGATAAAAAGTTAAGCACTCCCAATCTCCCTTACTCTGCTTTACTTTTTTTCTCCACAGCACTTATCACTTTAAAATATACTATACAATTTGCTTATTTATTATGCTTATTGTATGTCAGCCCTCTAGAAAGTAAGTTAAGGGCAACAACCTTTGTCTTTTTTGTTCACTGATATATCCCAAGCACCTAGAACTGTGCCTGGTACATTGTAGGTGCTTAATAAATACTTTTGAATGAATGAATTACCCATTTCATTGAGGAGAATAACCACCCTCTCCAGAATGGAAGAGATCTAATGTAGACACTCTACTACCATGTAACAAGCTGGCCCCCCATGGATCTGGCACATTATCAAACTCCATCTAGCCTCTGTATCTGTCAGGCTGGGCACTTAAGAGTGGCCAGACTGGCCATGGTGAGCACATGCTTATATAACTGAGTACATACTTAACCTCTGCATCTTCCACCGATGCCACTTTTTACATGAACCCTTAGAGTAATCAGTGGAGAAGCCGGGGAAAGAGCTGACTGATGTTCACCTAGGGCAAGTTATCATGTCCCTCAGATTATTGAGATCCTCTTCTGCAGCAAGGCCTTTGGTGAGCATTCATATGAGACACAAATACTCTCATGCTCTGGGTCCAATCAGAGAGGTCCACCCATGTAACTTTTTCCTAATCTCCTAATTTTTTATTTCCAACCCCTAGACCATATGGCCCCTGCTCATGAATCAGAGTAGACATCCATCTCTGGATATCTCATCTTCCAGTCAAAGTGGACCTCTAGATGTGCCACTAAAAGTTCTGTCACTGGCAAAACTCTTCTTCACAGTCCTTCAAGTACTCCCCAGATGGGGCTACAGTGTTGCAACAGTCACCTCCAGCTGACACTGGCGTATTTAAGCCAGGATAGACTTTTTCCTCCTCTGTCAACTGGTCATAGGGAACTCATCACCAGGCCATAGTTGTTAGTTGAGAGAGAAGTTGGAGAGATGAATATGAGCCAGTTATTATTTATTCAACTTACTCATACCTTCAGGTGTCAGATCTTCTGTAATCACTTCCACTTGGTGATGGTATGAGTTCTTGATTAGTGGATCAGACACCTTCCAGCTAATGATGAACAGCTCAGGTCTCTGGTGTGTCATGTTCAGTGACTACCTGAGCAAGGCTACCCAAGAGCTTTTGCAAAAAGATGGTAGTTACTTGAAGAGGGCATAGGTTTGCTCCAAAACCCTAGGGTCATTGACTGTGATTCTCCTGTCTAGGCCTGCTACAGCACCCACAAAACATCCTAATCAGTCTCAGCACTTTTGGACCCTTTGGGTATACTAGGTCATAAAAATCAAGGACAGAACTGATTGTACTCTAGCCTAGACGAGCTGAAGAACTCTTCCTTCCTCAGGGACTCTCTCAAAGATAACAGCTTTATGGGCAGTTCAGTTATTGAGTCAGAACAGGGCAACCAGTGATATATGTTGCTTCCAATATCCAGAGGTCTGGGTTGGGCTTCTTTCTTAACAGAATGCAGTAATAACTAATCTTACTTTGAGAGGACTATCTCAATATGTTGTAGAGGGCCAATAATACTGCAAAACCCAGAAAAGGAAGGATAACATGTTAAGAGAATTTTTTACATTTATGAATTTATAATAGCAAAAACCTGGATATTTTGCCAAGGATAGTAGACCAGGGATGGAGGAAGGTAATTTTCTTTGGGGCTAAATTAATTGATATAGTTTCAATTGGTAGAGATCCTGGATTCAGTGTATGAACACAAGCAGCTAGGAGTGGTCCTAAATAGTTGCTCTCTTGGAGGATCAAAAATTATACTCAGCAGTGGCCTGGGTTAAATGAGGTTGAGATAGCAACTATTTATTGGTATAATGTAGTGGACAGATTCAAAGATTAATATAAATGAGATTGCTGAAGTGGATTTATCACATATGACCCACTCGCCTACACTCTGACTATATCTCCCAAAAGGGCCTGGAGGACACCCCTTTCCACACATAGCAGTGAAAAATACATGAGTGATAAAAGTCCAAGCATCTTTGTGAAGCATAATAGGAATAGGCAAAGGTGAAGATACCACATCTGAAATAAGCTCCCTGATAGTGATGGAGTTCAGTGTAGCAGAGTCCAAGGAGGGCATGTCTACTATGATAGGAGGCAAGGTCAGAATGGTAATTAGAATACTATTGCTGAAAAGGACTTTGAATCTTGGTACCAAAATAGATGAGCAAGCTATATATGTACAACTTGTACATATATAAAATGTATGTACATATGTACATTACATATGTACAACTTGTACATATGTAAAACAAACTGGACGCCTGAAAGGGATTTAATATAGGGTATTAAGGGACAGGCTGGAGAATGAGGCTCTAGGCTGAGCCTCCAAGGGCAACTCCCAGAATAAAACTGCCAATTTGGCCTGGCAAGAGAGCAGCCACTGCAAGATCCACAGGGTCTCAGCTGCTACTGGCAAAGTTTCAAAACTGAGAAGCTGCTATAACTTCCATTCAACACAAAAGCCTCTCCTTCTTCAGCTCAGAAAAATCAAAACATCCAGCTCTATCATGCAGCTTCCAAAAGAGCTCACAGCTGCAATTTCATTACACCAAAGTCCATTTCTAAGTCTGGCAGGTGATCTGTTTAGTGAAGGAGAGGCTACATGCAGAAACCCTAGCTTCACCCTTCTAGTCTCTATTGAGTAAGAAGTCACATAGAAAGCATTGGTATTAAGAAAGCCATTCATCATGACCTCCCATGACAGTTCTTTTAGAATGGTGTGTGTGTGTGTACTTTTAGTGTAACTAAAAGTAAAAGTCACAGGCTGGAGAGTGTATCAGAATGAATATAGGCTTTTAAATCCAAAAGATTTCAGTTCAAGCCTTGAATGTGCCACTTATAAGTTCTTTGATAAGTTACTTAAATTTTCTGGGTTCAATTTCTTTCTATGCAAAATGAAGATACTATGTACCTTGTACAGCCATTGTGAGCACATGCCTACTCAAGGCTTTTGTCCTTGCAGTTCCCTCTGTTTGTAATGATTTCCTCCTGATAACCACTACTTGTTTCCTCTCAACCTTACTCAAATGTTATAATACCCACAAGGTCTTCCCTTGTCACCCATTTAAGATAGCCACATCTCCTAACCCCCATTAATTCCTCTTCTTCTTATGCTACTTCATATTTCTCCAAAGCACTTTTACCATCTGACATTCTAAGAGTTTTTCTTATTTGTTTATTATCTGATTACACAAAGTATAACTTATGCTGTATGCAAACAGGGACTTTGTTTTGTTTACTAATGTATCCCCAGGGCCTCTTTCAGAGCCCAATACACAATACATGGTAACCACTTAATTAACATTTGTGAATTATTAGAATTATATAAAGCAATGAATATGTGCTTGATAATGTGCCTTTTGCATATAAGCATTCAAAACATACTATCAATATTAGTATTTAGTAAGCCATTGATATATTTTCTAGGTCAACAAATATTTAATGTGTACTTAATATACCAAACATAAAGACTGATCAGAAAAAGTGTTTCCCCTTAAGATGTTTCCAAACATCTTATTGGAAGAGATAGATACATAAAGAGATAATTCCCATATAATATGAAAGTAACATTAGATGGAGCACTTAGCCCATGTGTTAGGGAAAATAACATTAACAGTGTTAACAGCACTTCCCTGGTGGTGGAGTGGTTAAGAATCCGCCCACCAATGCAAGGGACACAGGTTCAATCCCTGGTCCAGGAAGATCCCACATGCCTCAGAGCAACTAAGCCCATGCATCACAACAACTGAGCCTGCACTCTAGAGCCTGCAAGTCACAACTACTGAGCCCATGCACATGACTACTGAAGCCCTCACGCCCTAGAGCCCATGAGCTGCAACTACTGAGCCCACATGCTGCAACTACTGAGCCCACAGCCTAGAGCCTGTGCTCCACAACAAGAGAAGCCACCTCAATGAGAAGCCTGTGCACCACAATGAAGAGTAACCCTGCTCACCACAACTACAGCTGTGGCGCACAGCAACGAAGACCCAATGCAGCCAAAAAAAAAAAAAAAGTAAAAACAAAAAACAGTTGTAACTGATGACCCTAGAAGTCTTAGGAGCTTTCCAAATAAAGCATCACTTGCTCCCAGCATGAAGGGCAAAGCTGTGCTCCACCCAGTCATTTAGGAACCTAGGCTGCTTACATCTCATGATACTGTCATCTTCTGGGCTTCCAATTTCTTTGCAAAAAGAGAGAGAGTGTGGAAGGTCACCAGAGAGACTTTAGGGGCCAGCCCTGAAAGTGGCATGCACTCATTCCTCCCATAGCCCATTGACCAGAACTTAGCCACAGCTTCCTTGCCTAACTCAGGGGTGGGAAAAGCAATCCAG